TTAACAAATGACAATGTGATGATTCCTTTCACTTCTAAGGATCTTTTCCCAATAAGGCAAGTACAAATCCCACCTTCAGTACTAGTCCCATAATTAATGCCAATGATGCTAAAATACTCCTGCCCCTTGACAAGAAAATGTTGCCTTTCTGAGAATTCAACCAAGTGTTTCTTGGGGAAAAACATTTTCAGCGAATATTTCAGGCCAACTTATCCACAGTCTAATTCTAATTTGCTCACTGTAAAAACGTGCCGACTTGTTTTCATCAAATTCTAGAAAGAAATCTGCCAACCGACACAGATATTCCATTTTGTCCTCTCAATTTCACCTTGAAATAAAGAAATACTAGACAGTGCTGTGGGTAACAAGTTGTTTATTAAATGTATTGTTAGGGGGCAATTACCACTTGGTTTAAGTTTCAGAAAATATGATGAGTTGGTTTTTGTGGGTGTGTATGCCATGGTGGATAGACCAATGAGAACAGGTTGTCCAGCATATCAGAATTACTTATGGGGCTAACAAGTAACGCTACTGTCTAAAAGACTTCTGTGAGCCTACCTGCAACTAATTTGGAGTATAAAGCAGATTTCATCGTAGGTATACCCGCCCTCAAAATATTGTTGAATCAGTTTGTCTCTTATGAAAACTATTAAGGAATCAAACATTCTAAATAATCTATTATTTATATTCCGTTCTGTGGGATATCGTGCAGGGACAGACAGAAATATTGCATAGGCTATAGACCTAAAATCAAGTTGTAAACGAGTAAAGTTACGTCTAGAGTAACTACGTCATCGTGAAAAACAATCTACCCTAACAAAAGTCTATTTTGTTAATCTATTTATGTGACAAAAAAGGTATTATTTCATATACACGTTACTTAACCGATGCCGGGATATTATTCCTTCTATCAAGTGGAGTTCGGCGCAACTGCAAAAAGGAATACATGTACATCTTCTAGTTCTATTGCTAAAATGAGAGTCAGGCATGGTGGGTCGATCGAACAAGGACATGTACATGTGAAACGATCAAGGATCAAAGTAAAAAATACCGCTGCGCAATCGTGACCAAAAAAAACACGAACGACGCACGACGGGCGACGCACGACGGACGACGCACGACGGACGACGCACGACGGACGACGCAAGACGGACGACGCACGACGGGCGACGGCAGATATGGAATTCTATAGTTTCCCCTCCTTTATTCACTTGATTAAGTGTTATAACATAATAAGTAAGAATAATCCCTTTCTCAGAGATCTAAATCAGCAACTAAACAATGTTTTCCCGAATGACATCTAGGCATTACAGTGCCTTTAGTTGCCTTGAAAAACAGTGATTGTAAACATGTAAATATGCATTTTCATTACACGTGACCCCCAAATGATAGTTTTTATATTGTTTGGAAGAGTAATAGTAATCGCTCAATGGGCTCAGAACTTTACCAAAAAAGAGGGCGCTATTTTCCTAGCAACGGAGGCTCCTCTGGTAGTAACTGCGCATCGCTCATGGTTCACGAACGACTATGAAATACACGCGTTGCAGTCGTATCGCTACTAACAAAATGAACACTCCCTACCTATATGGCTTATTTCAACCGATGGGGGCGTTTCTGCTCAAGTTGGATAAATACGTCTACGACCAATTCATTACATGGACCGTTTAACAGCACAGAGGCCGTTCCGAAACTGCTTAAACACAGTGAAACTTATGATCCTTTTTAATTTATTAAAAGCAGAAAAATCGGCTGGATTTTTCTTAATTGCACTACCATAAACACGATTTTCTATTCTGATGTGATAAGGTTAACTCATTTAGCTTGTGTGTCAGGAGAATACATCAAATATTTTGAGCTTGTCCCCTGCTTGACTCTGTAGGGATGACTTCAGTCTGAAGAAAATTCAAGAGTACAGTTAACTCAGTGGGACTACAAAGTGAGTGCCGCTCTTTATATTTCCCGTGTGTGTTGCAGACTTCAACCGCCATGTAAGCTCTTAAGAAATTCAAATGGCATCTCGTGTCATGTCAGCTGCTTGTAGGACAATTATTTTTTCTTTCTAAAGGAGGAAGGTTGTACCAGGGGTGGTAAGTAACGACATGTGCTTTGAAAATGGCTGGGGAATGAACTTAGACTTCCAAGTTACCATATGGGCTGTCAATCTTCCTGAGCAGTTCTGGTCTATCAGAGGCTGAACGGTTTTTATATTTTTTATCTAAAGATGAGGAACAACACTCAGTTTGGATGTGACACTCAAACCGTCAAGTTTACTTAGCAATGGCTTGCAACAAATTTGTGGTCCTGACTTTGTTTCTGACTCAAGCTACGTGGTTGCAGGCTCGTGTCGTTAGGTCGTCATGTGGCTTAATAAAAGGAGAAACGTTGGACTTGTATGGAGTTTCATATCATCGGTACTTGGGTATACCGTACGCTGAGCCGCCCGTCGGTAGGCTGAGATTTCGGGCACCCGTCCCTAAGGCACCATGGGATTCTCTGTACAACGCCACCGCGTACGGACCCTCTTGCCCACAAGACATTTCTGCCGTGTCTGTCTTCTATCCGGAATATGTGGTGGAAATTCCTCCCAATGCTCACAACATCAGCGAAGATTGTTTAACGCTGAACATCTTCACCCCTGTTATGTCCAACGAGGGTGGATCCGGTTTAGCGGTGATGTTTTGGATCCACGGTGGGAGTTTTGAGACTGGTCAGGGCAGCGGGTACGACGCGTCTGCTCTGGCCGTCCGGGGAAGAGTTATTGTGGTCACCATCAACTACCGACTAAATGTCTTCGGGTTTTTCTCTTCGGGTGACGAGAAAGCGCCAGGAAACTTCGGTTTGTTGGACCAACAGCTGGCCCTGCAGTGGGTTCACGAGAACATCGCGGCGTTCGGTGGCGATCCGTCCCGGGTCACCCTCTTTGGACAATCAGCCGGTGGTGCCTCTGTCACTCTCCACTTATTTGCCAACAAAAGTCGCCCTCTATTTCACAGGGCAGCAGCTCACAGCGGCTACAGCCATCCTGAATTAGCTTTACCAGGAGGTGCTTCTCGAGAAATCGCCGAGGCAACTGGGTGTGATTACGGCCCGGACTCGGATCTGGTCGAATGTCTGCGTGGACTATCGATGGAGGAGCTCCTCTCGGCCGGGCTGGAAGTTGCGAAGAGCTCCCTGCATCAGGTCTGGGTGCCTACCCCTGATAACAACATGGTGGTGACACTCAAGACAGGAAGATTGGAACTGCAACACGATATCATGATGCTGTTCACTTCAGGAGACGGCTCAGTCGCTCTTGAGGTCATCAAAATGTTCCTGCCCGATCTCTATAATTTCTCAGTCGGTTTAACGGAGGAACAGTGGGATGCGTACTGTGGCTTATATTTCTTTCAAGATGTTGGCAAGCTTGCTCTTAGTCACGAATACATCGATCCCATTCAGACGAATGAGGGATTTGCCCGATTAAAAGCTCTTGTGGACACGATGATGGACTGGAATTACGTGATAGGCCTGCGTCCATTCTTAGACGTCTTGCCCAATTCGCGCTCCATACACGTCAGCATTTTTGACCACCGCTGCTCCGCTAACCAGAGATTTCCTAGGCTCAACCTCGTGCCTCACAGTGAAGAGTTGCCCTTCCTTTTTGGACTGCCATTTAACAGTTCTGGAATGGGATCGTTTTTTACAAATAGAGAAAAGGCTCTCAGCGATAGAGTTATCACTTATTGGTCCAACTTTGCAAAAAGTGGGTAAGCATCTTTCAAATACATCTTGAAAATGGGTAAGCATCTGTGACTTTTTGGCTTTAAATCAACAGGTCTTGTAGGTTTCCTTTTAGCACAGGAAAATGGAAGGATTGACGTAAGCCTTTACTGTACAGTTCTCTCTTTGGAGCCTAGTTTCTTATCGAGTGTAAGTCAGAAAGTGATTGAAGATACCGTGCGTCGCACGTTGCTCGTTAAATTGTGTTATATGGATACGTAGTTTGTCTTAGTATAGCTTCTCCCGTGCTGAATACAATATACACGTAGATCGGCGTACGGGCTTTACCACATAAAATTCTTCTATTCATGAGTAAAATTGTGATGTCATCCGCTGGAGAAAACCCGAATTTTGCACCGACTAGTGCACAGAAACTGCTAGAATTTTTCATATTTTGCTTTCCTGTATTTCTTTTTTTCTTTATTAACATGGTTTATTGTGACATGGCAACAAGTAACCCTTTCTCAGAAATATGAATGAGCAACTAAACAGTATCTACCCCCATTCGCTCGTCGCTCAGCTGATGGCACAGCCTTGGACAGATTTTAGTGAAGGAAATACGTCACACGGGGTCACAGCTAACGACGCGCAGAGCATTTTGGGTAAATTTCTGCCGGCCGCGCGAGCTGACTCGATGCGTTACACCAGCGGCGGTAATAAATTCGATATATTTTCTTTCTTATTGCTGAAAATTTCTCACTGCACTTTATTTGATCATCCAAAAACTGATCAAGATAACTGATGATTTGAAAATTATTCCCCAAAGACACGTGATCAGTGATACTTAATGAGAAGATAAATTACGACACTGTGATTGTACCAAGGCCATTGCCGACACTTTGTCCATGCGAAAGCATTGTCATTTGCGACCCCCCCCCCAAATAAATAGAATAAAATAACGCTGCACTAACAGGAATTGATATCCTCCCGGTCACAGGTCGTCTGTAAAGTAGCCAACCACAGTGCAAAGTCATCAGCCCTTCCCCCCGCGGCCTGTTCGGGCGCTGGGCGACGATCAAACTTCCCTGAAAGACATCACGGCATTAGCTTCCCCAATTGCCCTGTAAAGCATGATCTTTTTTTAAAATACACTTTCAATAAACGTAACCCAAGCTTTCATATTGTATGGAAATTGCACAATAAGTAAGTTCTAAGAATGATTCGTTGCATGGACCGTTTTATAGTACACAGGCCGCCTCAAACTGCTCAACAACCAAATTTACTGTACTCAAACACAACAACCGAGTTCACGCCGGTTTCGTGTTGATTTTCGACCATGAAGTTTATTATTATTGCTTCATAAATCATTACTCTCTTTCTTAAAGTGCTGCTTGGCTCTTTGTAACTTTCACTGACATTATGTTTTGATAAAGCCCACTGCACACACACTGATTTGACCGTGGGCCTATGTTGTAACGATATTGTCGCAACGCTTGTGGTGCAAAAGAGTGGTTTTTGCGAGGATTGCTTTGTGTTGAACGTAGACCCACTCTTCAGTATTAATATAAAGAAACAGAATAATTCTGCTGCATTTTATGCAGCTTATAATGTATCATACTGCTTATTATGCTGAGTGTTTCGTGTCACGTGGTGATGAGTCAACGTAGCTCGTTGTCAAACTGACAAAAAAATTGCTCTAGTGATTCATGAAATCCAATTAAAATGTCTTCGCACCAGGACGTCGGCTCGGATGCTAAGGTATGCATAGTGAACATTCCCCGGTGGGAGCGTCCGTATGGTAACGTTGTTTTGATATTAGTTATCGGCCCTTTGCTCCGTGAGGTATACAAGGCCAAAATAAATCTGGCAATTCGTGATTAAACCTCCATAATCAATTCCGTCGACTGGGCCCCAAAGGGAGTCCGATTTGCAAATTTCTGCGTCCGTCGTACACTAGACCTTGTACAACTTCAATGTCCCTGAACTCAGTCATGGTGTTTACACATGCGCAGCGTTCCTACTGGATGAACACTTGCTCATTGTACTTGCCCCTCAAATCGGTGAACCAATCATTGTGGCCGTTTAAGCCTTATCTACAGACCAAGTTAGGAGAGATTCAACAAAAGCCGACCTAATTTGAAGTGGGTAGCGATAAGGGCGCCCTTATTAAATTCTATGGTTCTCATTTCTTTTACCACTTGAGATAAGGTCGAGGGGTGGGAAAAAATTCTTTAAAAAAATTCCATGTTGCTGGGTGTAGGGCTATGCACGAACCTCAGTGGGCCACGGAAAGGCCCGGTATACCGAATGTTCATGCGAACGCCGACTGTCGCTGTTGGTCGTTTGCGAAATCGTAAGTTTTCAGGGCTTTTGTTTTCAAGGGTCATGTTGGCCATTTTTTTCCCTTCGTTTTTTTTTGGGGGGGGGGTTAGGTCTTTTTAGCAGGGTCGGCGGGGGAAAAAAGCTTTTTTTCCCGTGATCGGAAGTCTAAAATAGGGTCAGTCGGAAATGAGAACCATAGAATATAAAAACGGTGCCCCAATCAAAGAAACAGAAAATGAAAATATCCCCCAAAACGGAAAAAAGGTGTACATTAACATACAGACAGTCTTCTGCCAACGGGCTGAGCATATTGCCCAAAATGTTGAGTCCATCGTTTCGTTTCAGGACCCACGAAAGAAATATTTCCTACATACCGTAAATACCCCTACACTGCTTGTCCATATGCAAATCTTTATATCTCATCTGAAACATCAAGAGGAGGAAATGTGTTGTTTTACGATAAAAACAATTTTAGATTTGACTGGTAAACTGAACAATTATGTTAAAACTTTACTGCCAAAAATTAGTGTGGCACCAGACTCTTTAGACAGTAGATGAGGGGTTGAGACGACAAACGTTTTCTTGGATGGAAGAGAATAATACATCTGATCAGCAAACGCTTAGGTCTAGCCATGGGAATTATAAATGCAGGCTTAACAAACACAGCAAAATCATTTCCAGACTATCAGTAATTCAAATGACCCGGCCCATGGACTGCCTCGTGGCTCACTTAAATAAATTACATGAACGCTGGACCAATTAAAACATTGTCGGTTTGTCGCAACAAGTCTGGCACCCTTTATTCTAACTGTACTCTGTCATGCACATCATAAATGCTTAAACCCAGCACCAGACCCATACCCAACCACCAGACCCGTTTTTCGTATGTTATGATGAGACGATTTGCTGCCCATCCAACGTTTTATGCCATGGTTACGCATAACTGTAAAGACCAGTGGAGTACCCAGAGGGCGGATACGTGTCTATTTTTTTCAAACTGACAAATGAGTTGACAGCCAAAATTAACAACTTGTTTAAACTTTTAAAACGAAGGCGAAAACGGCATTTAATAAGCACTTTGTATCTTTGGATGGTGATGTTTAAAATTGCTTTATTTATCCGACTGACAATCAGAGGACCTGTGTGACGAAATATTACATTTGAGGAACATGAAAAAGCACAAAGTAAGAAAGTACCGGGTTGTGTTGGGAAAGGATTACGCACGACTGTACCCATTCAACGCCTTAAGGCGTCGTCACCGCAAGGAATATCTATCAGGTTGCAGGTCTCTGACCCACCAGCAAAACTGTTCACATATTCCCTCGATGTTGTCAGCGAGACATGTTTGATTGGCCTTGTGTCAAAGGCGAGCACACCTGGTCGTGTGTCGTTCTTGGTGCGCCGATGACAGGCCGTTAAGCTTTTTCATGAACGTGCAATACCTGCCGCGACACGCTGAGTAGAAATCGTCCTGCAATAATGACGATTCTCCGGGGCTGCATTTCAATGTTTTCCATTGCCCTTTTGGCAGTTTTGTGCGTTTCTGTGAAAGGATTTGTTGTTCAAACTGCGTGGGGTAAACTTCAGGGATTAGTACGGGAACTGGACGGGGCAGGCTATTGCTTGTATGCTGGGATACCTTACGCTGAGGCTCCCATAGGCCGGCTAAGATTCAAAGCTCCTTTAGCAAGAAAACCCTGGCAAGGAGTATTGAATGCGACCAGATACGGGCCATCTTGCCCTCAGAACATGTCAAATGTGGCTGCTTTTTATCCGGACTACGTTGTTCAGATACCTGAGGAAGCAAGGGTTATGAGTGAGGACTGTCTGTCACTCAACGTGTTCATCCCTCGTGATTGCTCCCGACCACCCGAATCGGCTTTAGCGGTGATGGTTTGGATTCATGGCGGAAGTTACGCCACGGGTCAGGGTAGCGGATACGACGCGTCCGCTCTGGCCGTCCGGGGGAGGGTTATTGTTGTCACCATCAACTATCGCCTCAATGTCTTTGGGTTTCTATCCACAAATGACGACAACGCACCGGGAAACTTCGGTTTGTTGGACCAGCAGCTGGCCCTGCGGTGGGTTCACGAGAACATCGCTGCGTTCGGCGGTGACCCGTCCCGAGTCACCCTCTTCGGTCAGTCGGCTGGAGGAGCGGCGGCAGGTCTGCACGTCTTCGCACCAAACAGCCGTCGTCTTTTCCATCGTGTCGGAGCCATTGGCGGATTATCCCAACCAGGCCACGCCATCCATGGCTCAACTGCCCTCTATTTCGCAAAATGGGTCGGCCGTGAAGCAAACTGTACGCAACCCAACACGACGAACTTGATAAATTGTCTACGGGAGAGATCCACAGATGAATTACTAGAGGCAGGGTCAGAAGTAGAGAAACAGGTAGTACTGCCAATGATTTGGATGCCAACAACTGACGGTCATTTCCTGTCGTATGATGATCAAGTGTCTAGTGACTCTCAGGTACATCATGATCTCACTGTGTCCGTCTCCACAGGTGATGGATCAGTCATCTTGGAGGCGCTTCCTCGCATCATCCCTCGAGACCTTAACCTGTCCACTGGGATCACACCCACCCAGTGGACTCTACTCTTGAGATATTTGTGGGGTTCATCTCTGCAGCGAGAGGCTATCAGCTTTGCATATGGCAAGTCCACCTTGGATGACCCGTCCCGAGGCAGAGCAGTTGTGGACTTCATGACTGACTGGA